ATAGGCAAAAACAGAAGTCCTTGTCTCTAAAAAAATAATAATAATAATAAAATAAAAATAAAAAAGAATATCCTTGATGAGGCAGCAAAAATGTTTAATCTTATTAAATATCAATCAATCCTTCTGTGCATCTTTTAAATATTATGTATAATGAAATGGGAAATATGTATAAGTGTAATGGTCGTCTCGAGAAAAAGTATGTACTTGAGTTACAAACTGAACTAGCCATTTTTTTCATGGAACACCATTTTTGCTTGAAAGAAAAACTGGCAACAAACTGTGGTGTTCATAGTTGAGAATTTGGCAAGCATTTTTTGCAAAAAATGGATGCAGGAAGACTATTACTTCAAGGAAAACAATGAATAAGCTTAATAAATTTCAAGCTTCTCAAGCTAAAATTAGAATTTTGGAAAATTTGTACCTGCCACTGTGAGCTTGGCCTCTTCTCAATACTCAAAGACTATTCTGGTGAGATTGGTAGTGATATTAATGAATATGGTATTTTGACATTGCATAACAAAATGAGTCAACATTTGGAAGCTCTGTATAATTCCGTGAACCATTATTTTCCAAATGACAAATACATGGGATTATGCATCTATTCAGAATGAAAACTAGAGCAATGAATGTTAATATAACAGAGTATGAAAGTTCATTGATCTGGTCTAAGATTACACATTGCAATTAACTTCTAAAAAAATCATCATTTGTCAAATTTTCATAGAGTAGCAAAGAATAATATCCTTAATTATCTGAAAAGGCTATTAAAATACTCTCCGCTTTCCATTTCTATGTCTCCACGAGGCCATATTTTCTTCATATACTTCAATTAAAACAATATCTGACAATAGGTATAATGCAGAAGCAGATAGGAGAGTCTAGGTATCTTTTATTAATCCAGATATTTAAAACATTTGCAGATACGTTTTAAATGCTGCTCTTCTCACTATTTTTCCTTTTAGAAAATAGAATTACTTTTCATAAAAAATATGTCAAACATGTAATGGGTTTTTATTTAAATAAGTTAATAAGTAAATATCTTAAGATTTTCTTAGTTTTAATTTCTAATATGGAATATTCATAGGTCTACTCTACATAAACAAAAGTTATTTGGTCCTCAATTTTTAAAAGTGAAAAAGAGCCTTATGACTGAAACTCTGGAGAATCACTGCCCTACGGTTACATGTGTTCTAAGCCAGTAGTCATTGTGACATCAGCATCAGGCCAATGACTGCCTTCAGGATTTCATGCAGTTGGCCATTATTGCAGGGCTCTCTAGCTGGGCTGCCCTGTAGGAAGCTAACCACCTAAGAGTGCCTACTGTTGCTGTCGATGTTCTTCATAGGGCATTCTATGATGTTATCAGGAAAGACATCCAGCAAATAGTAAGAGAAAGACCATTTCATTTTGACATTATTTCTTCCTGTGATTCTAGTTATGTTTTCCAACACCTTGCCTCTTGTTTCACCATAAAAGATGTACAAACTTCACACCAAAAGGGTAAAAGCTGCTGCTGGGCAGATGTGGACTTCAAATCTCTCCAAGATCAGACAATCTCTTAAAAATGTTTACCATAATTGTAAGATTTGGCACGCATATCCATCCTATGACTGTGATCAAGATGACATTAGTTCCGATGAAGAAATGAATCTTACAATAATGCTTCAAGATGTTAGAAGTGCCCAAACTAAACTCCTCAGCCGAATGACTGACATTGTGGGTGCTATATCAAAAATCCAGGAAAAAATTGACCATTATCTGAAGCAGATGGAAGTACTGGAAACCAGAATGAATGTTAAGGAAGACAAACAATCCACAGCAACTGAAGATATCCTCTCTATGAAAAAAGACATTGAGGCTTTAAGGAAGAAGGCAACAGAACTGGAAAACCAGAATTCTTGCTCCAGCATACATTGTTTAGAAGTTCTAGATAGAGAAAAGGGTAAAGAAATCATAGAATTGCTTCACAAACTCATACAACCAGAAGCTCTAAAGAACACATCAGCCTCTACAGACTCTGAAATCCCTTCAGCAGGACCAGAGAAAGTGCCCAGTTATCCAAAGCCCACTGATCATCTTGAGGAAAAAAAAATTTCTCCCAAAAGTAAAACTCTAGACAAAAATAACCATCAAAATGTATCAAGAAGGTTTAAAAAGGCAAAGTCAAATATTTACATTTATCCAGACTTTGGTACATGGATCAAGCTAACTTTTGTCCATGGAGGGAAATGGACCTTTTTCCTCAGTGCTACCAGGTTAGAAGAATTCATCCAGTGGCTTCTTTCAAGACCACCCATTCTTCCTGAGGAGCCACAGTCCATAACCCAGAGACCTTGCCCATTCACTGGACCTATTGTAAGCTTGACCACAACCTGTCTCTCTGTTTTCAACTATATTTACTGCCTTTTTGGTTTCTCAAAAGAAGAAATAACTCGACTCTAGAGTTATTTTCTGCTTTGCTTGGTATAAAATAAATGTAACCTGGTTGCTGCAAGCATTCACACATCTTTGTGGTGGCTGTGAACTCCTTGGTAGTTTGCTGCAAAGTTTCTATGCACCTACAGTAAGTGAAGGCATGTGATCTCATTGGAGTATTGTGATCCATTTTCTGTCAACATTCTTGTCTTCTCAAAGGCAATTCATGAGGACTCATCCTGTGTCCATTTTCACAGATAATTTAAAGCAAAGAATGAAGGGGTCAAGGGAAATGTGAAACACATTTGGTAGCCTCCAGGTCAGTTTTCTAGACACTTTTATCCGGGTGGTCTTTGTAGACAAGATTTGTGATACCAGAAACATACTCTACTGACAAAATTTTAAACAGCAGAGAGTGAAAAAGATACCCACTATAAAAGCTACTAAAGTTAGCATTATAAAAATGAAAAAGATTAAAAGAACAAGTTATCGTAAAGAAAATATTAATTCCAAAAAATAAGCTTTTTCTTTCAACTTCAGCTTCATTTCTATCAAACAGTTAGACAAAAGGGGAAAAGATTGAATATGGTACCAGGTAATTTGTACATTTTCATGTAAAAAAGGAGACAAATACTACGTCCTGTAGGTTTGATACAGAAGAAAAAAGAAAAACTATTTGTGAACTAATTTAAATCTCAACACTATAATACCATAAACTCTTATATGACAAGGGTTTTTTTTTTGTATAAACCATATATCCAGAGTGAGCTTCATTTTTAGACGTAATAGGTGGTTGTCATTGTAATGTAACTTTTCTAAACATCGTGCAGATTACCTGCAAAATATTTTCTTCACCACTTAACTCAGGGAATGAAATCTACCCATAGTCATTCCTCTGGGGTCATATGCTATTAAACTACAAATACTCTTGATAAATTTACTTTAATTATTCTTTTAATTTATTTTTAATTTATTTACTTTTTATTTATTAAAAAGTTATTATTTACTTTTTATTTATTTTATTTAAATTTATTTATTTACTTTTAATTATTCTCAGTTATTAATTTGAAAGGGAGGGTAGAGGTGGGTACTCACACCTGTAATCCTAGCACTTTGCGAGGCCAAGGTGGGAGGATTGCTTCTGGGAGGCCAGAAGTTCAAGACCAGCCTGAGCAACAGTGAGACCTTGTCTCTAAAAAAAAAATAGAAAAATTAGCCAGATGTGGTGGTGATTGCCCAGCTACTTGGGAGGCTGACGCAGGAGGATTGTTTGAGCCCAGGAGTTTGAGGCTGCACTGAGCTATAATTACATCACTGCACTCTAGACCTGGCGACAGAGCAAGACCCTGTCCCAAAAAATCTCAAAAAAAAAAGCAATCACTATATCACTTTAGCAAATATTTTTCCAGTGTTCACTAATAGCAAGGGATTGTGGAGAATAAAAAAAAGTAGGAAACATTCCCTGTGCTGTAGACAATAACATTGAATGGGATAGATAAATATATACACTAATAGCTCACATGCATGATACATGGGGATGGGCAGCAAAGAGCAATATCAGAGATCTCTGGGATCAGAGAAGAAAGAGGGGAGATGAGCCCTAGAGTAAGGAGGTAGGGTGGGGAGGAGGTGGGGAGGGCAATGTAGCAGGCAGAAGGAAAAACAAACAAGAGCACAGGAGTGGGGGCTGGCAGGGAACGGAGGACATAAAAGCCACCAAGCATTACATAATTGGAAAGTACTGACAGGCCCTTTTTTCAGTTCTTTATGGATCTAATTTTTCTTTTCAGGGATTCCAACCATGTTCATTTTAACCTATTTTTTACCTACATAAAAACATTAGAGGGGGAGAAAGTGACTCTACATGATTTTCTCAGAATCTCAAACTTTCCCTAGAGATGTTTCTGTTCATCCTGTTAATGAACTAAGTTCCCTGTGAGGAAAGGGGGGATTTTGCTTCTGAGTCAATTATTTATCATCACCTGGGCAAGATCTCACACGACTTGTTAAAATTATAACTCAGCTTATAACTGCACGTGAGCAAGTAACTTTTCCCCAGCCCTGGCTTTCAAATTCGCCTGCTCTCCCCAGCTCACTTCCACCCCTCCCGGCTCAAAGGAGATGCTGTGTCTCTTGCCCATTCCTCCCCCGGGGGCTGGCGGGGGCTTCATCGGTCATTCCCCTTCTGTCCTTCATCTTAATCACCACCGATCTATCAGTCTTTTTGTACTCAGCTTGCAGAAGTACTCACTTGGTTGCCTTGTCCCTATGTCCCCTCTTCCCCTGTCAGTTTCCCACCACCTTTTTGAATGAAGGACTCACTTTCCCTGTCCCCACCTTCCCGCTCCCATTCTCTCCCCGCTCATGGGAGCGTGTCTTCCATAACAATGCTTTCTCTCCTGGTTCTCTTCCCATCACTCTGGCAGATCCTTCTCAGTTTTCTTAGATGATTCCTCAGCCGCTCACCATTCCCTTAAAATATGGATGCTTCACTTATAACGACTCCCAGATGGAGGAATTCCTAATCCAGCCTCTCCTGGGACCTCCTGGGCTTTTGTTCCAAGTTACTACTTATCATCTCCACTTGCGTGTCTACAAAATAAAGTACATACAAATGTAATTAGATAAGTGTCTATAACGTATATAAATCAAACATGAAAACCATTGTGCATTCACTAAAAGGTCTCAAATCATTGTTGTGGGTATTAAACACATTTATTGGGGAGCAAAGAACATTCAAAGAAGACTAGCTTTCAGAACAGCTATTTACTAAACATTTATTATATATTGGGCACTAGCTAGTTGGGTGTACAATGATGACCCTCAAAACTATGTGATTTTGGAAAATTCCTGAAGCCTTGTATTCAGTTTTCTCAATTGTAAATTGAGAACAATTTATGTCACAAGATGGTTGTGTTAATTAAACGAGATCATGTGCATAACCTGCCAAGAATGGTGCCTGACTTAGTAGGTACTTAACGCATGGCGGTCATTTCCTTCCCTCTCCAGGCTAAGTGTTAACAGCGGGCATGAAGATGACATGGGCCCTGCCTCAAGCAGCTCACGTTCAGGACTCTGCCTTCTTTTGTCAGCTATAAAGGACTCCAGACAAATAACGAACAAAGTGACAAGCTAAATACAAAAGCTCCAAACCAAATCTTGACTCCCTCATCCAAAGATAGCGTGATAAGAATAAGACAGGGGGTGAAGCTTTCCTCCTCGTCTGGGCATTTGACCAATATTCCATCATCTGCAACAGCCACTCGCCAACCTTTAATTGCACGCTATGTAAATAAGCAACAAAGGAAAGGATTTGGAGGGAAGGGAGGTTGAGTTAAGATAAATAATTTAGTTCAGTTTGGAATACTTGCATAGACACAGACACTAAGAGCATTCTGCTCATTTGAAAACAATATTCACCAACACTTACTGAAATCTGACTCTATACAGGAACTATCTGAGCTAGGTGTGAACAAATAGAGATGAAAAGACACCATTCCTGTCCTGAAGGAACATGTTTTCAAGTGTTCTTTCCAGTTGCCAATTGTTTTGATCTGTTACTTAAATTTGAATTGGAAAAACACACAGTTTGTTTAAAACTTAATTTAGTCTTTCTGTGGGACACAACTCAAGTCCCATTTAGAAAAAGACATTGCTATTCCTAAAAGTAATGTTTTAAGGTGAATTTGTCAAGACACAAAAATGCAATTTTTCTATATTATTCTATATTCCTTCAAAATGTAGACTGTCACCAACATGTCAATGGATTATGCTCTGAAACTTCATTTTGAAATTCTTTGTTTATAACTCAGAAAGCATATTACAAAGAAACAGTATCATTAGAGTTGGACTTTTTGGCCAACCTGTAAAAGCTGATTGAACTACAATGTGCCTGAGATAATGGTATCAGTGAAACCACAAAGCCGAGTGTTTGTATATTCCTATGCCAAAGTGTATTCAGGAAAACAACTGCAAAACTGGTAGTCCTGACAGCTGGAAGAGTGCCCCAACTCTCCTTGCTTTCTTTTGTCTGAGAGTGGAGTGAAGATTCCATAGATTGATGGCCCTAGCAGAGGACACCCTGGAGGGCAAGGAACAAAGAACAGGGACAAGTTGGGCCAAGACAAGAAGTCTAGGGGTGAGAAGCCAAGGTGGTGAAGTCTTGGGTAAGGAAGGAGACCAGGGTTCCACGTGGCTGCTGAGAATCTAGCCCAGGGAATAAGGGCCAAATGGAGCCAAGGTCACATTCCTCAGTGATGAGGGAGTAAAGGCTGATGTGAGGAAGAGAATTGATGCATGCGGCACGCAGCATAATTGCTGGCACGTAGCTGTGCTCAATAAATGGTGACAGAGATACTGGAGATGATGGAGGCAGCAGCAAAAATTGTGGGCTTTGCTCCCCTGTTTGTCTTTGAGAATACAGCCCATTTGGAAAAGAACTGTGCTTGTCAGGAACATGAACTCCAGTGTCGGTGGCAGGCGGAGTGGGTGGAGCAGGGCCATGGTTGGGCAGGAGGGACATGCAGGGAGAGGAGTTGCTCTAGTGGGGCTCTTGTGACAGAGACGGGATATGTTTGCTCCCCCTCTCATCTCTCCTCTTTCCCATGCCATTCTTTCCACCTAAAGCTTGCGATGCAAGGAAGTGGGGTGCGGGGAGATGTATCCCAGCCAGATGCAGAGCTGGGGAGTTGGGGGAGGACAGAGGAAGAAAGAAAACCCCCAACAGGAGTGAGAAACAGCCGAGGTCCTGGTGCAGCCCGTCAGATAGCAAGGACATTCCTCCCAGGCAGAGGTAAGGTCCCACGCCATGTGATCTGGGGACGCCAAAAGGGCAGTGCCTCTCAGGCAATTTAATCAAATGTGGTGGTCATCCTTTTTCTACCCTCAGTTACATTTGAGCTCTAAAGACTCTGCCCAAGCTTCCAGGAACAGCTCTCAACAAGACTCTTCCAATGTTTCCTTTAGTCAAGGATTTTACCTATGTTTAGATCTTTCCTCTCTCTCCCACACTCAGCCAGGATAGGAAAAGAATTGCATGAAAATGGGGCTGATTCTAATAATGTATTCTTTCCACCACTTGTTTTA